CCCCAAAACCCCAAAACCCCAAAACCCCGTACATCTATAATTATTGAATTTTAGGGAGTCATATAGATGATTAAATAATCAATTTTCTAGATTTAGTTAATAAGATAAATTATAATTTTTTAATTTCACTAGCTGATTAGCTCATGACACAAACAAAACTCTCTCTCTCTATTCTAATTCTCCTTTCAATCTATGAGCAAGTCTAGCCAAGAATGATCAATGGCACCTGCATCGATCCTCCACTTTAATCAAATTTTGATGCAACCAGATACTCAGGAAGATGGTTTGAAATATACAGAGACAATGGGCAATAAGCTGAGAATGGTTATGATTGCCAGAATGCTCTATACACCCTTAGACAAGAAGGTGGCTTAGAAGTAAGGAACTCAATGTTCAGCCTCACTAAAGGTGACTTCCAAAGTATTGAGGGAAACGCTACTTGCAAGGGTGCATAATGTGACGTTGTCTTCTTTGGCCATGAGGGAGATTACAGAGTCATAGAAACTGACTATGAAAACTACTCATTAGTCTACTCCTGTGAGCAATTCTCTAAAGAAGTAAAGTTCGAGGCTGCATGGATTCTTTCAAGAACTCCTATCATGGCTCAAGAGACTTAAGACAAATTGACCAACCTACTTTAGACTCAAGTCCCAGACTACGATCTCACCTTCTTAGTTTAACCTAATTAAGGTGCATAGTGCAAGTATGAACCAGCCAATCACTCTCCAGAATATCTCTTCCTTCAATGAGACCATAAAATCCAATAGAAAAAGAATGCCATTTATACAAACTCTAATTTAAAACTTATAAAAACTTAAATGCTAGCCATTTTAATGCTTATAATCATAATAATTCCCACTTATTGTTTATAAATGTAAGAAACTTGAAAGATTTATTCCTTAGATCTTTGATTGATATCTTACACAAATAATGCTCTCTTCCATTTAACAGAATCATTACTAATTTAAAGATTTAAATTAAAGACTTTAATCAGTGCCTAATTCTATAATATATATTAAAGATCATGTAAAAGAAAATTCTATTCCTTTCAGCTACCCTTGCTCTAATAAACGTCGCCCATGCTGGCGCAGCTTTCGGATCTTGCGCCAAAGTTGAGCTCTAACAAAACTTCGATGCTACAAGATATGTAGGAACCTGGTTTGAGCAAGTAAGAGACAAGTCTCTTCCATTTGAAAAATATGATTGTTAGCAAGCAATATACAGCCTTCAGGGAGAAGGACTTCTTGTTCACAACACTTAATACAATCCAACCTCAGGTTTAGTTGAGGAAGCTTATGCTAATGCCACTTGTAAGGGTGCTGCCTGCGAAGTCAAGTTCAACTGGTACTCTCCAGCTGGAGATTACAGAGTTCTAGACACTGACTATGAGAATTACTCTCTCGTCTACTCATGCACTAACATATTCGGATTGAGCAAATTTCACTTTGTTTGGCTTCTTACCAGAAAGCCTGAACTAACAGCTGATATAACAAAAAAGGTTACTGATGTCCTCAAGGCTAGAGTTTCAGACTACGAGTTTTCAAACTTCCATGTTACCAAACAACTCGGTGATTGCAAGTATATTCAATGAATCACTCAATTGATAAATTCTTGAAAATCAAGAATCATTGAGAGTAGATATTTGTAAGCCTACTCTATTAGTAAACCTATCATCAGTCAATTTAATATCCTTAAAGCTTAAATTAATCACATTATTTACAAAAATTCATGCTTATTTTGAAGATATTTTAGACACAAGGGGTTTTGGGGTTTTGGGGAGATCGGAAGAGCAC